CTCCCCTCCCCTCCCCTTCCCCAGGACTCGATTTACATACAGCTCTGGCCAGGAGGAGAACTGCAGATGAATAACCGTCCGCTTCAGGCTCTGATCCCGGAATTGCAGCGTGATCATCCTCTCCAGGTGCGTTGGGGTGGCCTTGAGGCTGGTGAGGACCAGGCTGATGGGGCCGTGGACCATGGGTTGGCCTCGTTCCGTGGGGAAGTAACGGACCACCTTTTGCTGCCAAGCCAAGAGAGGTGGCGAGAGAAACGGGTCAGGGAGGGTCGTCCTGAGACCGGAGGCTACCCTGAAGACTATTTCTGAAGACCTGGAGACTATACTTTTCCAGCTGGGGTCCCAGGCAGACCCAGAAGCTGGAGACAGAACCAGACAGCAGATGTGTGGAACTGCATGGCTTCGTTTCCTGTCAGCCCCAGCCAGCAAGAGCAACGGCTGCGGAGGATGGAAGCTGGAGCCCCGATCTGAACAAGCAGAGTAACAAAGCCCTGCCCATCAATTCATCACTGATTCTGCAGAGACCTCCCCTTGGGCAGAGATCCCAGAATGTGATGGAGGACTTGGATGAGGAGGTTCAAGGTCATGGGGAGAAGCATCTCCTCAGCCGGAGCGTGTGAAAGCAAAGAGGATGAGATGGGCACCACCCTAAGGAATTCATAGTTGCAGACTTTGGGGGTTAAAGTTAGCCTGGCGAGATTCTGTCTAGCAGGTGCTAATAAAGTAATGAAGCAATTCCAGAAGTGTCCCGTGGAGCTGCTTGGGCTGAACCTGACACAGAAAGCCCCTTTAATGGAAAAGGAAGTGTGCCCCCCCCCCCACTGTTCCTGGCAAAGGGCTGAGCTGCAGCCTTGCCCTTCTCTGTCCCCAAAGCAGAAGAGGTCATCCCACTACTGTGGCATCTGGGCTCTCCTGCTGCAGAGCGCCTCCCCACCCCAGGCGGTCTAGGGAAGTTCACAGAGGGCCAGGCCTCACCCACCTGTGCTGCCAAACCTCCCCCAGGACCACGAGGCTGCTGAGAAGTCACTCCTGGCTTCCGAGGCCAAGCCAAAGGTGACCGAAACCCCCCTCCCTGCTCCAGAGCACGCCCCACCTTCTCCATCTCCTGCTCAGAGACCAGCATGACGACCAGGGACACTTTCTGCTCGTAGATCATCAGCCAGAAGTCCGAGGCCGTGCCAACCAGCGGGGCCTGGGTGGCAATGATGGTGGGGCAATAGGAGGAGAGGTCCTCGATCCGGCTGGCGTTGATGTAGTCATCCTTGCCCGACTGCAAGACAACCCGGTTCCTGTCATAGGGCATGATGTCCTGGTGGCGGTTCTTCATGGAGTAGCAGCGGGCAATGGCGATTGACAGCTGCCGGGCGTCCTTCTCCTGGGCCTCCTGCAGCTCCTTCCAGATGCTGTCCAGCTCACTGACCGTCCCTGGTGGAGGAGCCTTCTCGAGGCGGCCCACCACGTCCTGGAAGCGCTCCAGCTCTGCCAGGAGGCGCCAAAGACGCTCAGGCTTCTCATAGGGGTCGTTCTCAATCAGCTGCACAGCCTTGGGCTTCAGCCCGTCCGTGGCGTCTGCCTTGGTGGGCTGCAGGAGTGGCTGGCTGACCGCAGCCTTGGCCCCCCCATGCTGGCTTTCGGGGCTGGAGGACAGAAGGTCGTCCGTGGAGGAGCTCTGCCGCTGGAAGGGGGCCTCGGAGGGAGCCTGGGGGAGTGATGTGGCCCCGGGAGCCAGAGAGGAGGGGGGGAGCTGGGAGGGCAGGAGGCAGGGCGCCGGGAGGGTCATGGAGGGCCGAGGAGAGGGAGCTGGCGAGGGAACCGCTCCACCACCTGGGACCTGGCTCAGAGCCGGGCTGGCAGGAGGAGGAACATGATGAAGGGGAGGCTGGCTCACAGGAGGGGGCTGAGGGCCCACTAGCCCCACAGCGGTGCCAGGAAGCTGGGCTGAAGCAGGGGGAACAGCAGCAAAAGCGATTGGGGTTGGTGCGCCAGGAGGCCCAGGATGAAGGGGGACCTGTTGAACAGGGCCCATCATGCCTCCAGGGACAGTGGTGGGGAAGGCCAAGGTACCCGAATGGGGAGGCAGTGGGTCACGGGGGGGCATCTGATAGTGCCGAGGCCCCAGCTGGAGGGGGAGCTGCCCTTGACTGGGAGGATGCGCAGGGACCGGACTCGGGAGCGCTGGCTGGCCTGGGGCCTGGGGTGCGTAAGGCTGGGGGAAGGCCGGCTGTGGCTGCTGGGTCTGGGGCAGGAAGGGGGGCAGCTGCTGCTGGGGGGGCAGCATTGTTGCCATGGTCTGCAGACAAGGCGGGCGGTCAGGGGGCGGCTGGAGTGGTCCCTG